CTGGTGGCGGCCTTCTTCACCATGATCTACGGCCTGCACTCCGGGCGCGTCAGCTCCCTGCGGTGGCTGCTGTCCATGGCCGTGTCCTTGGCGGAGAGCGTGTTCATCACCCAGCCTCTCAAGGTCAGGAGGCCCGCCTGCCCCAGCGGCTGTCCTCCTTCCCTCTGCCCCCTTCCCCTCTGAGCCTGTTCTTTCCACCTCTGCCGTCCCTTTGTTTATTCAGTCAACAAACACAGTCAGTGGCCCCCTTGTGCAGGCCCTGGGGCAGACAGGGTAATGAGGTAATTAGCCAAAAGCCCAAGGTAAGGGACACTTGCTGCGGCCAGACTCCCATCTCGACTTGGGAGGGCACAAGGTTTTACAGGGGAGGAAACGGAGGTTGGGGTGAGGCTCAGTGGCAGAGCCCGGGTTCCAGGCCTCGGGCGGCGAAGGGAAGAGGACCCAGCTGTAAAGTGCGCGCCCCTAAGCGCGTGCTCCCGTACCCTGAAACACGAGAGCCTCTCGAGCGCTGAAGACGGCCAGGCCCAGATCGGGGGCAGCGCCCTGGCCAAGGGAAGGCACCGCAGGCCCGCGCCGGGCTGCCCTTCGGCCGCCACTCCACCTGGACGGTGACCTGCAGGTGCTGGGCTTCTCCGCTTTCTTCGCGCTGGTCTTGAGGAGAGCGGACGACGAGGAGGAGCTGGAGCTCCCCCTGCTGGGACACCTGTCAGGCCCAGGTAAAGGGGCCTCGGGGCGGGGCGGGACCGGGACACAACTGGGGGGGCACCGGCCTCACCCTCAACCACGTGGCTCCCGCCTGTCACCCAGGCCAGGAGAGCGGCCTTGGGGACCCACCTCTGTGTAACCCCAACGAGGGGGCCTGGACTCGGATCCCTGGGCTTTAGAGTAACAAGGGAAGAACCGGGGAACCAGCAAGGGAAAGGGAAAACTGAAGAAAAGAAGGGAAATGCGGAAACAAAGCTTATTGTTAGGGAGGGGTGGAGGGCTGAAGGGAGGGCAGGGGAACGGGGAGAAAATAAGAACCAAGATACATCATGAATGGGCACAAATTCCAAACCATGAATGCGATCATAAAGTATACCTAAAATGCACCAATAAACTCAGCAAACAAAGAAAGAGCCAGCGTGCAGGCAGACTGCCAAAGGCCACTGTCAGACTTCCGGGACAGCAGATCCGAAGGCACAGTGAGCAGCCCCGGCCGGGCCCACAGCCTTAGTTCTGGAACAGAGACCGACTGGACCACAGCCACGTTGACCCTGGGCCAGGGGCACCGGCTGATCCCCCAACCCCTGGAAAAGGAAGCGGAGCCCGGAGGTGCATGGCAGCGCAGGCGGTCACCTCGGCAGGGCGTCACGTAATTCACACAGGACCCACTCCGGAAGAGGGAGGCGGCAGACGCCCTGCCCGGTGGTGCAGCTAGAAGGGCACAGGCTCCACAGGCAGCTGGGTCAGCCCCCACCAGGGCGGCACAGTGGGAACTGCTGCTGACACCAGCAAGCACTGTCCGCACGCTGCCACCACAGGGTCTAACCCGTGCCTGCCATGGGGACGGCCCAGTGTCCTTCTTCCGGCACGAAGATACAGCAGCGTCTACCAGCCACCTCTCCCAGCTGCCATCGAGAGGATGAAAGCCACCCAGCTAAAGGAGCAGAAGGCGTTTGCCCTCGTCATGGAAATCCTGGGCGGGGGCCACCCTGTGTGCACCTCTCAGCAGTCGAGACTTGCAGGCACGCTTGGCCTTCAAAAGTCCCCCGCTGCTTCTGGGCCTCAGTTTCCCTAGATTGCAACTCACTCAACTTCTCCTGCATAGTTGAATCACTTGGTGGCCCCTAAGTCCCTGAGGATAAAGTCTGAACTCCCTCCTGTGGCTCCACCCACCTCAGGTCCCTCCCTTCCCTCCTGGTCTTTCCTATTTAAAGAGTCTTACTATATAATTCAGGCTAGCACTGGACTCGCTATGTAGCCCATGCTGTCCTCCAAATTGTGGCGATCCTCCTGCCTCAGCCTCCTACATGTTGGAATAGGAGACATGCACTGCCATGCCCCACCTTCCTCCCAGGCTTCACTCAGCCCAGTCACTGTGTCTTCATCGCGGCTTCGCCTGCCTGACCCTCTGGCCCAGAGCTTTCAAGCCTCAGCACACACCTCATCTGGGGCCCCCAGTATCAGATCGATGGGAGGGGACCCCAGGAAGGGAAAGTTCCACCGACAGTCCCTGCATCTCACTCTCCTATCCCCAGCAAGTCAGGTGAGCCCCATGAGGACTAGAACTCGCTGTCCATTTCATTACTGTGCCCTCAGCAATGCTATGTGGCTCATGCACCACTGGAAAAATGTGTTTAAAAAACATTAACATAAACTCAGCTGAGTGGTACACGCCTGTAATCCCAGCACTCTGGGAGGCTGAGACAGGAGGATCCCCAAGTATGAGTCCAGCCTGTGAGCAAAGCCTTGTCTCAAAATTTAAAAGAAAGTTTTTTTCAAAATAAAAATTTTTAAAGGAGCGGGCTGGGAATGCAGTCAGTGTAAAGACCCTGATCCAATTCCCAGTACCAGGGGGCTGGAAACCACAAACTCTGGGCAGTCTGTCTGTGGTGCTGTCTAACTACTCGTAACTGATCCCTCATCACAACCTCCAGCCCGAGAATTACCTAAACTTCACAGATGAGGAGTGAGCCACAGAGGGGCTGAATCACTTGCAAAGGGCACAAGGATAAGTGGTATTTGAACCCAGACAGCCACCTTGTGGTCCTGGAAGGAACATCTCCATGGTTACCAGGAGACCAGGGCTGATTCTGAGCTGCCATCCGGCATCCTGTCCTGAACTTCAGGCTCCCGCCTGAAGGGTGCGCTGTGTGTCCTCTGCAGTGTACCTGGGCTTCCTGTGGATGCTGCTGCTGGTGGCCTACGGGCAGCGGAACCCGAGCGCCTACCACTTCAACAGGCACCTGGAGCGCAGCCTCACTAGAGGCTTTTCAGATGTGCTGGGCTTCTGAGAGTTCTTCGAGTGGGCCGACAGTACCCTCGTGAACAGCCTGCATGGTCCGTACCCAGGTAGGTACAGGGCCCAGGTGTGGTTACCGTCAGGCACCGCCACGGGCCCAGGAGCCACAGACCTGAGCAGGGCTTGGCCGGCAGGACCAGCAGACACGAGGCAGGGTCTCAGGGGGACTGGCATGAAGCTCGGGGGAGATGGACACTGGGCCACAGCACAAAGGAGCTCAGCGGCTCGCACCCTATCCCTGAGGACGCAGGGACAGATCTGTGGTCGTTCGCAGGCGCTGTCTGTAGGAAAACGGGTGCACCTTAAATGGAATAAACCAGACGCACCGCTTACACGTCGCGTAGCTTCCCTCGTATGAGAAACCCAAAGTATACACAATTAAAGACAAAGCAGAGGACGGGTAATAGGAGACGGGGAGACAGATCCTTTGCAAATGGGAAGCACGTCCGGAGAGAAGAGGGGTTCGGAGGTGTTAAGTACGCACAGTGCCCTGAGCAGGCATCACGGGGCTGACGGAAGGACAGGGACAGTGGGGGGGAGGCACGGATGCATCCAGGTGGGCACTGGGCACAGAGTGGGCCTGGATGGGAGGGCGAGTGCCCGGTGACACAGTCCACAGCCGGCCACCTCCAGGCTGGGGTTCACATCCAGCCAGGCGTTAGGGTGGTTTTGCTTGCTGGACTTGCCCCCTGGTTGTCTCCCACAGGCTCTGTCACGGATGGGAACTCCAGGCTGGTTGACAGTGCCCACATTATGCCGCACAGCATATTCCCTGGACGAGGAAGACCAGGCCAACTATGGGGAAGGCTGGAACGCCTCTGCCCTCGACAGCAGTGCCCTCTTTTCCCAGGCCTGGCAGTACCAGGGCCAGAGGCAGCACCAAGGCTACCCAGTGTGGGGCAGACTGGCTCTGTACCCCGGGGGAGGCTATGTGGTGCCTCTGGGGACAGAGCGCCAGGGCACGGCCAGGTAAGGCTGGCTGGACTCTCCTACAGCAGGGTGCAGCTGTCTGCTAGGGTCCTCCGGGGAGGACCCCAAGGACTTCAAAGCAGGGCTGATCCAGCTCTTTCACGTGCCCTGGGAGGGGCTGGCAGGTTCAAAATCTCTCTGCGGGCATTTGGAACAAGAAGCCTGGGTTTGTCCAAAGACTGCAGGACCATGGCCCTCCGCAGGACAGAGGTGCCCCAAGCACCCCTCTTGCCCACAGAGTCCTCTGCTATTGCTTTGACCATACCTGGCTGGACACCCTGACCAGGGCTGTGTTCATGGAATTCACCGTCTAGAATGCCAACGTCAATCTGTTCTGCATCGTCACACTCACGCTGGAGACCAGCGCCCTGGGTGGGCTTCCCACCCCGAACCCTGCCGCCCAGCAGGCCTGCTGCAGGCCCAGGGCAGAGTAGCGTGGGAAGTGAGGGTTGGAGCTGGGCCCCGCTGCAAATGGCACCCCTAAGCCCCCAAACCGAGGCTGGCAGCCTCCTCTCCCAGTGGCTCAGCGTCCCGAGGCACCCGAAGGGACCCAGTTGGATTCTGTGGGTGGCTTATCCGGCTCCTCTGCCTGAGCTCCTCACTGCACTCCAGGTGTGTGGGGGGGGGGCTAAGCAGGAGAGGTGACCTGGTAACAAGTAATGTCCCCTGAAAGAGCGTTTACAGCTTGTGCTCTAATCCACAGCAGAAGCACATCACACACACACACACACACACCTGTAAGTCTAGCTAGTGGGAGGCCCAGGCAAGAGGATTGCAAGTTGGAGTCCTCCCTGGACAACAGATCAAGATGGTTTCTCAAAACGAAAAATAAAGTGAAAAGGGCTGGGGGTGTAACTCTGTGAAGGTGCTTGCCATAGCATTCAGGAGGCTCTGGGTTCCATCCACAGGACCACAGTAAATGAATAAGTTAATAAAATGCTGACCACAAGCTACTAAAAGCTATCAACTTACAGCCTGTTCAACTAATGTTCAACTTGTCTAAAACGTAATATCCTTTCATTAAAACCTGAACTTGTTTGTTTGTCGCAACACGGTCTTGCTATGTAGTTCAGGCTGGGCTTAAACAAACTATGAGTCTCAAACTCATAGCAATCTTCCTGCCTCAGCCTCCTAAGTGCTAGGATTACAGGCATGTATCACCACCCTCAGCTAAAACATTTAAAAAATACTAGGGCGAGGGATTTAGCTCAGTGGCTCTTCCACGTGCCTCACAAGTGCAAAGACCTGAGTTAAGTACCTGGTACCCAAGACAATTAATTAATACTAAATTACCGTTTAATTATAAAATGTATATATGTTTGTGCATTTAAAAAGAAATAAAGCTCCTGCAAGCTCCTGAAAAGAGGGGTGGTGTTGGGGCCGGAGATTTAGCTCAGTGGTTCCGCCACCTGCCTCGCAAGCACAAGGATCAGAGTTCCATTCCCGGTACCAAAAAAACCCAAAAAAAACAGAAAAGAAGGGTGGTGTTTCTGGTGCTTATGGCACTGCCTGCACTGTGCTGAGAACCTTATGTGAGTTTCTTTTTAAAGCAGTAGGAGAAAGCTGGGTGTGGTGGTGCATGCTGGTCATCCCAGCACTGGGGAGGCTGAGGCAGAGGGGATTGCTGTGAGTTCAAGGCCAGTCTGAGCTACATAGCAAGACCTTGTCTCAAAAAAACAAACAAATAAACAAATTTTATTAAAGTAGCTGGGGGGGTTGGGATTTAGCTCAGAGGTGCCACTCCCTGCCTTGTAAGCGCAAGGTCCAGAGTTCAATTCCCAGTACCAAAATTTTTTTTAATTAAAAATAAAGGTTAGAAATCAGAAATGGGATTTGGGGCGGGACGAGGTGTGCACCACCACTGCTGTGGCTCAACTGAGAGAAGTTCAAGTATGCCGAGAAAGGACAGAGGACTAATCACATGGCCTGGAAATTGGACGGGAGTGTCAGAGAACAGAGGCACTAGGCTGCAGGAACAGGAAGGCGTCTTAGAAGATGAAGGTGGACTCTGAAAGTTTCCAGCAGATCGATGTGGAGTGTGAGTGTCCAGAGAGCGGGACCCTTCCCACATGCCGTGCGCCTTGGTGCTCGAAAAACGTCTAAAGAAAGCAGAGACCCTGGGAAAGGACAGTTGCAGCAAAGAACAGCAGAAGAAAGCCAGAAAAAGAAAGAAGAAAGGCCAGTCATTCAGAAAATCCAGGCATCTGCACTCAGCACAGCAAACGTTTTCTGAGAGCCTTAACCAAAGAGAAACTTCTGGAAGCCAAACACTCAGGATCAAGACAAATCGATCTGAGTAGGACCCATCACACATCGAAGAAGGAAATGAGTAGGCTGGCTGGGCAGATCCGAAGCGTGTGTGGGTAAAAAAAAAAAAAAATGCTGACAAACACTTTTGGATCTGCCTCGTGGGATTCACAACTGATAGTCCCCTCTGTGCAGAATGTCTGAGGGTGAATGACAGATTTTCTAGGTACCTGCTAGACCTCATGGAGGAAGACTGCTTTAAGTTTATTTCCTCCAGAAACCCTTGTGCATCTGATTCCTGACTCAGAACGTGCTCTTGAAGATGTTGATCTAAACAGTCTGTGTCGTTGGCGGGCTGGTGGATGAAAGCATTCAGAAGAAAGTGGTATTTCAAAAGGCCCAGGACACTCTGTTAAGACAGCCTGTTTGCCAATCCAGGAACACATGGTCAGGCGCCAGAATGAGAAAAACTTGTCATTCAGGGATGCTGGCCACCAATGAAGTATTCAATATCCTGTCCACTTACTTTGATAGTCACAACTGGCCCGCAGCACTGAAGAAAGGAGTTTCTCCAGGAAAAGGCTATGTTCTTCAGAATTCAGAGGAATGACAGCAGCCTGAGATTCTTCTCCAAAGAACAGGGCAGAACGCAGCAGTGACACACAAACTTGCCTCTGCTTGACCCTGTTTGGGTCTCTATAGTACAAGCTGCTGATGGCAAGGGTCGTATTTTATGCTTCTACATCTCCTATGGTGCCTGGCTCACAGGAGGTGCCCTGATTAATGTTAAATTTACCTAACGAGGACTTAGCCCTATAACTACACGGCTATGGATAGACATGTTAATCCATCTTTTATATCTATCTGTGAAAGATCTGCTCTAGACTGTTGAATAATTAAATATCATCGAGCTTACAAAAATAAACACATAAATAAATTATATAGCTGGGAATGTAGCTCAGTGGCTCCACCCCTACCTGGCAAAGGCCAGGACCTGAGTTTGATTCTTGATACGGGGAAAAAAAAATTATCAAAGTAAAACTTTTAAAAAGTGAAGGGCTGAGGGGATAATTTCCCTTGTTTACTTTGCTTTGGAGAATCAAGCTTTTTTTTTTTTTTTCCTATTAGAAATTGTTTTCTTCTTCTTTTTGAGACAAAGTCTGGCCATGTAGCTCAGGCAGGACTTGAACTCACTTTGTAACCTGGGCTGGCTTCGAACTTACAGTGAACCCTCTATGGCTGCCTCCCTAGTGCTGGGATTACAAATTCTGTTTCTTCTTACAAGTCTTGCACCTGGGCCTGTAGGGAGGGGGCAGGGCTTCAGAGCCCACGGGATCCGAACCCTGAACCCGGTCATGGGTGCCTATCAGTGGTAGAGGCACTTTCGGCCACAGGCCTCGCAGAACCTCGGCTTCCTTTCCATTGCCAGCGTGTGCGGCAGCAGAAGTGGGGCTACTTCCGCAGCAAGTGGAACCTGCTGGAACTGGCCATCATCCTGGCCAGCTGGAGCGCCCTGGCGGTGTTTGTGAAGAGGGCCGTCCTGGCGGAGCGCGACCTGCAGCGCTACCGGAAGCACAGGGAAGAGTAAGTGACCGTGTCCCCAGTCCCCTGGCCCTCCGCTGGCCCTGTCTGAGGCCCAGGGTCAGCGAGACGATCTGGAAATCGCGCTGACCCTCAGCAGACCGAGAGTCCCCACGCAGGACTGGCTGCAGCTGCACCGAGCTTCGACACGCACCTGAGCACCCGAGGCCGGAGACGACGCGGCCCCTGCACGGGGAGGAAGCCTCTGCCGCTAGCTCTGTCCCAGCCCTTTTACGTGTTATTTCGAAACAGGGTCTTGTTCAACTTGCCTTCCAGAATAAAGCCCGACACTCTTAAGACTACAAAATCTTACACAGTAATAGGAAGTTTATAACATCCTGAATTAAGAAGTTACAACTGAGGTTCTTTAACAGGAAAAAGGGGCTGATAACCAGGAGCAAAATTTGCCAGTAGAAATCTAATAGAGATGAAGAAGTTGACCAATCAGGACACTACAAGGTCTGTTATACTATGTTTAAGTATTCAAAGGAAAATATAAACCTCATGAGATGTGGAAGACCTTTTTATTTTTTTGGTACCGGAGATTGAACTCGGGACCTTGTGTTTGTGAGGCAGACAGTGGGACCACTGAGCTAAATCCCCTGCTCCAATGGAAGACATTTTTTAAAAATGGCACTGATACCTGAAAAATATGTACTGCATGGATTAACAGATTAGGCAATATGGAGACTGAGGATAAGTCAACTTGAAAACAGAGTAATAGAAAATTCTCCAAATAAAGTATTATGGTTTATATCTAAAAAATAAAATAGCATCTGGCTAAACTGCCCAGGCTGGCCTGGAACTCGTGATCCTTCTGTTTCTACCTACCTCCTGAGTAACTAGGATTACAGACATTCACCACTGCATCTGCCCTGGAGACGACCTTAAAACAAAATACAGCAATATCTGATGCTTGCGGCCAGATGTGGGGGTGCAGGCAGGAGGATTACCACAAGTTCCAGACCAGGCTGACATGCACAGTGAGATCCTGACTCGGCAAAACAAAACAAACAATATCTGATGTTTGCAAATGCAGCACTCTGCAGCACCCGGCGGAGGTCCCTCCCAGCCTTGCGGAGAGCTTTCACAGTATTAGTGCCCAGAGAACCTGGCTCGGCTACCACTTATCAAGCGTCCACTAGGTGCCAGGCAGGATGTGTCAGTGCACAGTGCACGTCTTCTGTTTGGTGGCTTTGCTGGAGGTGAGCCAGTGAGGTGGTGCAGTCCCAGCCACTTGGGAGACTGAGGCAGGAGGATGACAAGTTGGCAGCCAGCTAGATGACTTTGTCTCAAAATAAAAAATGCCAAGGGCTGGGAATATAGCTCAATGGTAGAGTACTTGCCTAGCATGTGCAGGGCTCTAGGTTTGATCTTCAGTACAGCAGGGGAAAAAGTTGGGCATGGCTATAGTCCCAGCACTTAGGAGGCCGAGGCAGGAAGACTGCTTATTGAAATCTAGCGTGGCAACTTAACAAGTCCCTGTCTCAAAAGAAATGTTTTTAAAAAGGCTAAGATATAGCTCAATGCAAAAGTCCTACTTTAATCATCCATGAAAAAAAAAAAAAAAAAAAGCAAAACTAATGAATGTAGATGCACTTCTACCAAAGAGACCGAAGCTCAGTAAGATTGTAGGCCACACAGTAATTTAAATCTGGACCGTGTGGCTTCAGGGTCCATGACTCTCTCTGACCATTGTGTTCTCTCACTTCTTATAGTGGTATCTTACATTCTCTGAGCAATCGCCCGAGGTAATACACGCTCACACAGCCGAGGGATTAAACCTAGGCCCTCATGCGTGCTAGGCAGGTGCTCTACCACTGAGCTACATCCATAGCAGGTACATAGTGAGATCACGTCTCAGAAAAACAGAAATCCTTCCCTCAGTGATTAACAAGCACCGTGCAGAGCCGGGCAGGGCTCACACTTTATCCCATGTGCAGTCACCCACTAGGCATCTGCAGGCCCAGCCTCTAAGGCTGCGTCCAGCCACACTTTAATCAGAAAATGTCTGATTCTTGTTTTTTTTTTTTTTTTGATTCTTGTTTCTTTTTGGAGACAGGGACTTGCTATGTAGTTCAGGCTGGCCTTGAATTCGCAGCAGTCCTCTTGCCTCAGCCTCCTGAGTTCCGGAATGACTATAGGCATGTGGGACCATGCCTGGCCATGTTTGACTCTTGATATGCACACAGCCTGTTTTTTTTAATTAATTAATTTCTTTGTGCCAGGGATCGAACTCAGGACCTTGTGCTTGCAAGGCAGGCGGTGGCACCACTGAGGTAAATCATGACCCTTATAAATAAGAAACCCTTACCCTGGCCTGCCTGGTTTCTTATTTACAAGGGTCACGAAACAGGTTTGTGCCAGAGAGTTCTCATTTTATAACCAAATGTCATGAATTCACACCTTGATGAATGCATAACCCGGTGATAAAACAGTAGAGAAAGACTTATCTACAGCAGGAAAGGAGAGCACTGGTGTTATTTGCAAAACAATGCTGAACAAAGGAAGGCAAGGATTTTAGACAGGAATGGATCCATATTCACATAGCAAAGCATGTTGGGCACAGGAGCATTTCTGGAGGTGGACGGTTTAATTTCATAGATCACATGTTCGGAGAGGAAAGATGGCGGACACATTTCTGAGCATGCTTAGCTCGGTATTACAATGAGCCAGATTTACTCTAGGTTGCTGAGATTGTCTGGATCCTTCTAAGCGTTTCCAGAGTTGTAGCTGAAACAAACAGGAACAACAATGTTTTGTTTTGCTTTTGATTTGGGGTTACTGGGAACTGAACTCAGGGCCTCGCCCTGGCCAGGCAGGTGCTGTGCCTCTGAGCTACGGTCCCAGGAAGGACAACATTGAAGTTGCAGCAGCTTTCTCCCCATAAATGTAACTGCCCCTAACGGTGCCCGCTTCCTTTAGTGGCTAACATTTTTACACTGAATAACAGAAAGCGAAAGGAATCTTACCAATTTTAACAAAAATAATTGTTTTTGCAAATAACACCAGTGCTCTCCTTTCCTGAGAATAGTTTGAATTCCTTTTTTCACTTCCTTCCGTCCACCCTGTTCTTTGTGTTTCTTGGGATGGAACCCTTAAACAAAGGGCACTGCTCGTGCTAGGAAAGGGCTCCCCACCAAGATACACCCACAGCAGACCCAAGCAGGTTAAGTTTGAAACTTCAAACCCTTAGTTGAACCTGATTAATCAACTAACCAAAGTTTTGTGTTTATTTCAGAAACTTGTAAATTGTGTTTCATTGTTAAATAGATGTTTGTACAGCTAGATTCTGAAATGTTTTTCCCTTTCCTTTCCTTTCTTCTCTCTCCCCCCCCTCCATTTTTTCCTTCATATGTATGTATGTATGTATGTATGTATATACATACATACATACATACATACATGAGCCACCATGCCTAGGTCATATAACATTTTTCTGTAACTTTTTTTTTCTTCATGTCAATAGACATAGGTCTGTCATTTTTAATGTATTGCTGGGTATGGTGGTGCACACCTGTAATCCCAGCGTTTGGGAGGCTGAGGTTGGTTGCCATGAGTTCAAGGCCAGTCTAGGCTACACAGCAAGACCCTGTCTCAACCCCCCCACACCACCAAAAAAAAGAAGTCTGTGTTAAAATGTACCACTCCTGCCTTGCAAGCGCGAGGTCCTGAGTTCTGTCTCCAGTATAAAAATAAACAAATAAGTAAATAAAATGCAAAGGCAGGAGCTAGAGATGTAGCTCAGTGGCAGAGTACTTGCCTAGCATATGCAAGGTCCTGGGTTCGATCCCAGTACTGCCAAAGGAGGGAGGCATTTAAAAATGTAGCTGTAACTGGTAGCTAGTGCTTGAGTTGAGAGAAAAATAAAAGAAACAAATTAAAATAAAACAAAAAGTCTGGGCACAGTGGCTCACACCTGTAATCCCAGCTACTTGGGAGGCTGAGGAGGGAGAATCTCAAATTGGAAGCTAGCCTGAGCAAGCGAGAAGAAAGCACCTCAAAACAAACAAACAACAAAAAACCCAAATCCCACAAAGACCCGAGAGGAGAATGAAGGGCGAGGTGTGGACTCTGGAGCCAGGTGCACATGAATCCCAACCCTCTCCACCACAGTCTGTCACTGTGGCGCTAGTTTGGACTTTGTGCTGACTCCATCCCTGTCTGTAAAGTGGAGGCAACGGCTGGCTTCACCTTAAATCTCAAGTGAGCTGAGCGGACAGCCAGCGAGAGTGGTGACCACGCCTGGCATGCAGCAGGAGGAGCGCTGGACCCACACAGTGAGTGAGACCCCTGCTCCAAAGAACAACAACAAGAAACAAAGCCAGAACAATGAGTTTCTCACTTGGCACGACAGATGGGCCACGCTTCTGTCCTCCGTTCAAACACACGGCAGCCACGGACACACAGACAAGTGTGAGCGGCAGGGCTTGGCGACCACAGAGCAGGGGCAGCAAGTGAGGAGGCTTTCCCTCCATCCCGTCCGCCTCAGAGGATTCTCCTTTGCCGCGTTTCCAGAGCTCCCTGGCCACTAACCAAGACCCACGAACTGGCTGCTGGGTCCTCCTGCACACATCATCATCTTCACCACCATCACCATGACAACCACCATCCTCCCAGCCTCGTCCCTCACCCCTCATCACACCATCACCACCAACCAACGCTGCTTTTATTCTCATTCCCAACCCCACCACCGTCACCACCACCACCAGCACCAAAGTGGAAGGGCGGGGCCACTTTGTTTCCCAGCCTTTTTCTGATGGACCGATGGCCCCTTGGTCATGTCAAGCCTCATCCTGCACCCTGAGATGATGACAAATCCATCCCTGCATCCAGACGGAGCAGCTGCACCGCTCACGGTCCCTGATGCACCTCCCCACTTGGGCCCACAAGGGGATGAGCTTCAGAGAGACAGCAGCAGCCGACGCTGCCCTTGGGTACATCACTGCCTTCCTGGTCCTCCTGTCCACAGTGAAGCTTTGGCATCTGCTCAGGCTGAACCCCAAAACGAATGTGATCACGTCGGCCCTGCACCGTGCCTGGGGTGACATTTCGGGCTTCATCATTGTCATCCTTATCATGCTCCTGGCTTATTCCATCGCCGTGAGTGGCCCCTGTGGGGACCCCAGGGCTGCTGCGCATGGAAGCCAAGGGTATTTGGTCGTGCGGAGTGGACAGTGAGGGTGAGGGAGGCTCTGGGAGCCTTAGAGAGATGAGTCTGGGGTCTGGCGTCTGTTAGCAGGGAGCTCGCGAATGGACCTCCAATGGCAGGGAGTAGAGGCCTCTCAAGCAGGAGGAGGAGGCATGGCTAGTGGGACAGAAAGGGCCATCAGCCCGCTGGAGGACCCCCTGCTTCAGGTGCCGCTGCTCTGACACCCCACCTGTCAGGAGGCACAGGGCCGGGACTCCCACTGCACTGGTGGACGAGCCGGGCCCCCGAGCCAGGCCAGAGATGGGAAGTAGAGGGGATGTCCCCGGGCTGCAGCAGCCCCTGGAACCCTCAACACGAGGCATAGACTTAACAGGACCAGAGCCGTTCCAGTCAGTGTTCAACACTGACAGCACTTCAACCATTCTCTTCTGTGACTGGAAAACCCCCTGAAACACGAAACACTCCACTCTTTCTTACTACCAAGTGGGGAGAGAAACAAAGACCCTCTCCCGACCCCTGCCACATCCCAGTCCCACCCAAACACAAACTCCAACCCGTACGTCCAGAACTTGCCTCGTGGCTCTGGCCCCACTCAGCTGTGAGCCTTCAGCCCTAACTTGAGCCTCTCTGCAGTGCAAGCCCTCCCTTCTCCTACTCCCCCGGCCCCCGAGTCTCTACCTGCCACCCCTCCTCGTCCCCTCCGCCACCAGCCCATTGTGTCCTGGTCCGGTGCACCGCCCCTCACCCACGGGCATCTGCATCTCCCCAGCCAGGACCCTGCCCTCCTCTCTGCCCTCTTCACCTTCCTTCTTCAGTGAAGGGAGGTTCTGGGCAAAGTGTCCCAGCCGAGCCAGGCACACCCACCTCACACGGGCGCGCGTGCGCGCGCACACACACACACACACACACACACACACCCCATGCACACACGTCCGTGTGGGCCAGGCCAAGGCAGGGTGGGCACAGGCAACTGTGTCAAGCAGCAGGAAAGGGGCGGGGGGCTTCAGCTTCCCTTCCCCGTTCATGAGGACTCTTTCCATGACAGTCAAACTTGATTTTTGGTTGGAAACTCCATTCCTACAAAACCCTCTTTGATGCAGTGGAAACGATGACCAGCCTTCAGCTAGGAATCTTCAACTATGAGGAGGTAAGGCACCGCAGTTGACACAAAGTCCTTGTGAGAATTAGAAAAATCACTGGGCATAGTGGTGCATGCCTGTAATCCACTCAGGAGGCTGAGGCAGGAAGATCACCTCAAGTTTGAAGCCAGCCTGGGCTACACAGTGAGTTCAAGGCCAGCCCGAACTACATAATGAGGCCCTGTTCCAAACCCCCCAATAAATACAAACAAAAACAAATTAGAAAAATTACTTCCTGCTCCTGCTCACCCATTCCCGTCATCCTTTGGGTTCATGGCCTGGCAAACGCAAAGCAGCTTTGGAAAAATAAAATGTCGCCCCCTTCCTGTGCACAGGCTGCCCTGGGGACCACTGCTCATGGAAGAGCTCCCCGGGCTGGCGACTTGGGAGGGCTGTACGGGTGATCTCGATGGGGACAATCTCAGCCCCAGCCAGAGATGGTGCTATCTTCAGAGGAGGCAGAGGTGGGCAAGGGTGCAGCCCACTCCCTGCCTGGGCCGAGGGACTTCCCGGCTCTGGGCTCCGCGGACCACGCCACCCTCTGAGGGCTGGGGCATCGAACGTTGGACCCCAGGAGTGACGCTGGCTTCTCCCTGTCAGGTCCTGGACTCCAGCCCAGTGCTTGGCTCCTTCCTAATTGGGTCGTGCGTCATTTTTATGACGTTTGTGGTTCTGAATCTGTTTATCTCTGTCATCCTGGTGGCCTTCAGTGAGGCACAAAAATGTGATCAGGTGAGTGAGTTCCTTGGCCTGTTCTTCACTCGCCACTCACCCTGGATGCAGAAGAGCTGGGCTGAGCAGTGCAAGGCTTAGGGGGACTTGACGGCCATTGCAGCTCAAAGACCCCGCTTCACAAGAGGGGAAACAGGCCCAGGAAAATATTTCGCCAAAGTCACAGAAGGTGAAGGGTGTGATGGCAGAAGCATCCCAACCAAGTTCAAGGCCAGCCTCGGAAACGGAGCTGAGGCCTTGCTCGAGATAAAAGTAGGGCTCAGGGTAGAGCACTTGCCTAAAGATGCACAGCACCCTTGGGTTCCGCCCCCTGTACCACAAACAGCACAACACATCACAGTGGCCAGTCATCCCACGTGTCCCCCACTGCCCTCTCTCCCCGAGAGGCAGACTGGGCTGAACATCCGGCCCTCTGTCCCTAGGTCTTCCCAGTAGAGGCCCTAATCTGGAGCCGTCCAGGGACCCCGCCCCAAACCCCTTGGTGCCAGATGGAGTGCAGGCTCAAAGGCTCATCATGCTGTACAGAAATGCTCCTAGCACTGCACAGATGCCAGGGGCTTAGCAGCTCTGTGAGAGGGACGGGGATGGAGGCCAGTGTATTTCACATTACCCAGAGCGCTCTTGCCCTGCGAAGATTCCATATATTGAAGTTTTAGGAAATGTTTTCACTGCAGCAGGGAAGCAGAGGTCCTCGCCAGGTCAGACACAGAGGCAATCAGATTGTACCTTGTTCTGGAGGTGGGGGCGCAGGCGTAAGACATCTTCAACTGGAGTTAATTTCTCAGAGTGGAGTCCCTAAAGCTCAGCAGACTAAACTCGTGCTTTGTGGATATATTCTCTTTTTTAACATATTCTTTTATAAAAATGAAAATATATGTCATAAAATGCACCTTTTTTTTTGGCTACTAGAATCAAACTCAGGACGTTGCACTTGCCAGGCAGGCACTACTGCCACCGGGCTTGATCCCTGGCCCAAAATGCACCATTTTAAAGTATACAATGGTTTTTGGTTTTTTGTTTTGTTTTGGTTTTTTTTTTGCTTTTTTGAGACAGGGTCTCACTGTATAGTTGAACTCACTATGGAACTCACTATGTAGCCTCGAACTCACAGCGATCCTTCTGCCTCAGCCTCCCAAGTGCTGGGATTACAGCCATGCGCCACCACGCCCAGCCTACAAGGTTTTTTTTCTTAAACTGTTATTCAAAGTTTTGCAATCATTGCTATTATCCAATTGCTAATTCCAGAACATTTCTTTTTCTTTCTTTTTTTTTTTGTCGTTGAGGTACTGGGGTTGAACACAGAGCCTTCATACTGAGTTACATCCCCCAAACCCTTTTTTTTTTTTTTTTTACTTTGAGACAGAGTCTTCTTGCTAAATTGCCCTGGCTGGTCTCAAATTTGTGATCCTCCTGCCTCAGCCTCCCAGAGTTGAGACAAGCATGCACCACCATACCCGACTCAGGCTGGGATTTTAAGTGCTGCCGGGCAAACTCAGGCATGCTTGGCAGAGAAGAAGAGTGAGCCCGTACCCCCAGGAGCCCCAGAAACAGGTCAGCCCAACCTCAGAGTAACCTACATGGTGACCTGACCCAGGCACAGTAGGTCACACATCCTTGGTTCCCCTCAGAAAGAAAAGTCCCAAGAGGATGGTTGCAGGTACATGACTTGGTCCTGTGTCTTACAGCTGTCAGAGGAAGCAGAAATTGTGGATTTGCTCCTGATGAAAATACTCAGTTTCCTGGGCATCCGGTGCAAAGGAGAGGAACAGAGTGGCTGTGAGCAGCCTGTGTCGCCATCCACAGCTCAGTGCCCTCGGCCAGAACAAGCTTCACCTGGGATCTAAGATCCTCACCCACGGGGATCAGCACCTCCCAGGGAGGTGGGCGCCCCTCTGGGAACCAGGATTTATGTCTGTAGATGAATCACTTAGCCCAGCAAGTAGAAAAGTAAGGACACGTGCGTCCTAAAGTCGGCACTGCTTTGAAAGCCTGTTTGTGCATGTGTGTTTCCTCCTACAAATAAAAAATAATTATGCAGAAATGAGTCTTCTCTAATTTCATCTCCGGTTGGTCAGGGGCTGCCTTTGGATGATTCTAGTTCAGAGCTTCTCTGAAAAAAGGGAATGGGTATCATATTAAAGGCCTAGGCAGCCGGGGATTTAGCTCAGTGGTTCCACCACCTGACTTGGAAGCACAAGATCCTGAGTTCAATCCCTGGTACCCCCCAAAAAAGTCCTAGGCTATTGGAACAAACTAGGTGGCTTCAAACAATAGACAGCCAGGCCTGATGGCTCTTACTTGTGATCCCAACATCTGGGAGGCTGAGGCAGGAGCATCCCCACAAATCCCTGAAGGTGAATGTTTCACAGTTCTGGAGACCAGAGTTTGAAATCCAGGCGCTGGCAGGGCCACCATCCCAGTCCCCGCTGCGGTTGAAGGGAAGAACCGGGTCTCTTTCAGCTTCTGGTGTTCCCTGGAAGGCCCCGGAGCTCCTTCTCTTATCCATCAACCTTTTTGGCACCAGGACCCTTTCCGTTTCATGGAAGACAATTTACGATGGACAGCGCTGGCGCAGGGGCAGGGGTGAAGAGGTGTGGTCTCCTGACAGAGGGCAGCTGCGATCCTCGCAGGCCTGCGCAGTTCACAGTAGGGCTCCCACCGGGCTCCCGCCGCTCTGAGAAGCTACTGTCCCGGCTCACCTGAGCCCAGGTGAGCTCTGGGGAGCAGCTGTGAGGGACAGGCCGCTTCCTTTGCTTGCCTGCTGCCCTCCGGTTGTGCGGCGCAATTCCTGAAAGGCCCAGGCAGGAGGATGGACGAAGTAAAGATAGGTAAAAAGGAGGGAGGGGAATCACAGTGTGTTTTTATTCGTAATTTTTAAAAGTGAGAGCAGCAGCTTCAGAACACGAGCCGTTTCCTAAGCAATGTTTCCCCTTTCTCTTCTCTCAGAACACAGTAAGGCTGAGGAGGAATTAGTGCCCTTTTGCCTGCAACTGCCTCTGGCCGTTCCCTTTCGGCTCCCAGAGGTCCTCTTCCCCAAAGAGTCCCTTCTCACCTGCACAGGAAGGGACGCTTCCTTTCGGTGGGTGCGGCCCCCAGCCAAGACCAAGACTACAGACTGAGAAATCCCAGACTGTCGCTGCCTGAAACACGCCCCCAGCCCCAACCTGTAGCTCTCATCTCCGAAGGCCGACACGCCGCTCTCCGGCGCGTACTTAGATTTCTGCCTAAGAAACTCTTCCCAGGCCTCTGACTCATCCTCACAGTTGTTTGTCCACGGCCGGAGCCAGCAAATGGGCAAAGCTACTCTATGGAGAAGGGGTTCAGGAACCTCTTCCAGCCCTGTGCAGGGACACGCGGGCTGGGTGGAGTGACAGACGGCCAGGTGAGGTAGAAGCTAGTGGGCGGCCAGAGAGGGAATGGGCACAGAAGGCAGGAGGCGGATCTGAAGAGAGCGAGCCAGGCTGCAAGACGGAGATGCAACAGCCAGGCGCACGGCCTCCCTAGAGACGTACAACACCCTGCAACCTCACTGTCCGCAGCGCACTGGTCCAGTGGGCCCAGGTAGGCATCACAGGCACAGGTGGACAGGTGAGTGACCAGAACATCTGGACCCAAGTTGCATCCCTTTCCAGAGATGCCTTTGTTCTTGATATGATGAGAAGCTATAGATGAAGTTATTAACGAATGATCTCACTGTATATCCTGGCTACAGGCCTCACTTCCCTATTGGACAGACGCTAGCTAAGCGACTATACTTGTGATCCTAGATTGTACTTTCACCCACACTGTACCCACATTGTGATTTTGACACAGGGGGAAGAGATGCATCCAAAGTGCAAGTTCATGTTCTCTGAAATAGAAGAATAAAGAGGGCTGGGGATTTAGTGCAGTGGTTCTGCCACCTGCCTCACAAGTGCAAGGTCCTGAGTTCAATCCCTGGTACCAAAAAATAAATAAAATCGAAGAATAAATTCTAAGAACAATGTAGGAGTAGGAAAAAATTAATGGGAAAGAAACCTTCTGTGTAAGAGAGACAGAAGGGGGACTAGAAAGTGGGTTGCCTGCTCACCCAACTTCTCAAAGGTGTTTTATGGGACAAAGCTGTGAGGGGAGGCAGATTCAAAGTGGGACAAAACTATAGTCAACGAGTGAGATTCCAAGGACAGCCACTGAGGCAATACTGATCTGATGAGAAATCACAAGGTGAACAAAACTATGAACAACCAATAAGATTATGACAAGTACAGTCACTCAGGCAATACTGATTAAATGGGTATCCAATGAGGAAACAAGTCATGTAGCAAACTATAAGGAAAGAGCAAGGATTTGGGGTGGGAAGGGGCAGGCCAGGGATCTTTCCTGGAAGATCTTGGTCCCCCACCCAAGAGACCAAACCTATTTAGAATCAGTCTACATGGGTGTGGTAGTTTCTCTTCTTTCACGATGCTGGCCTTCAGTGACTATATCTTCATCGTCCTCTGTGTTGGCTCCTCCTGGGCTGGCTCTGTCTAATCGCCTGACAATATCTAATTACTTTACCATCTGCAATATTTTTACTGTATAAATTACCCCTGACAAGGAGCCTCAGCGGCCACCCACTCAGGACCCCTCCTGGAAACCCAAGAGCTAGCTGGGTTTTGTTGTTGTTTAGGGTAGGATTTCTTCCTATGAGGCCAGGGATCAAACCCAGGACCCGGAGCATGCTAAGCCTGTGTTCATCCACTGAGTTAAATCTCTACCCCCTCCTGTAAGAGCCTGACTGAACCAGAGAGACTCCATGTTGACCAGCAAATGACCTAGAGACTGTCGCTCCCCCCATCCCTTATAGGATAACTAATGATTGTGAATTGTTAGGCAACTGCTTTGAAGTAGCTGGGAAACTAAATGGAAACTGTAGTGAACACAGAGACCCAACACAAATCATGCCACTCCTTACTTGACTGTAGTTGAATGTTCTGAACATTATAATCTAAGTTGTAAATGGAATAATGGATAATCGCTCTGCTGATCATTAGTACGTGACGGTCAAGTATATGCTTGATGACCACTAGCTCAGATCAACTGATTCTTTGCCTTTGTCCTCTTTCTGTAAGTTTTAAGTGTAAACTCCCCCTTAGCCCTATATAAAATGGCCTCTGTTTCTGAGCTAGCCGCCTCTCTGAGCTACTTGGCTTGGGGAGTGCCGTCTGGCCAGACTAATAAAGGTCTATTTGCCAACTTGCCTGGTGTGTTCCTTCCTGGGTGACTCTCGCTGTCCGACAAGCTCCTGGAGCCTCGCTGAGCTTCTGAGCCCAGCATCGTGGAAGCCTTTTGGCTGTTCATGCTCCAGGAGTAAAAGTGAGACTTACGTCTTACACTCCAAGAAAACTCCCTTAACCGCCTTGGTTGGAGACTTCATTCTTCCCCCTCGACAGACCACAGGATAACACTTACACAATTCTCTAAGCTTTGTTTAACTGCCTGAATTAATTTTAATCTGTTAACCCAGGTAGGCCATTTTCTTTTCTTTTGCCTTTCTATTTATTTAGAGACAGGGTCTTGCTATGTAGTTCAGGCTGGTCTCAAACTCACTCCCACAGCCACCTCAAAGTGAATCCTGATTTGTTTTTGTAACTGTAGTCAGTGAGTGACTAAGGTCCTGCCAGTAAAAAATGAACGAAGGGTTTCTAAGGCACTTTGGGCGAGGTCTCCTTGCTAAGAAAAAGACACACAGAAATGGTCTTTTGTGTTGGGTATGGTGGCACATGCCTGTAATCTCAGCTATGCCAGAGGCAGGGCAGAAGTATTACAAATTCTAAGGAAGCCAAGGCAACAGAGTGAGATCCTGTTTTTAAAAAAATCAAGGCCATGGTGCACGCCTGTAATCCCAGCAGTTGGGAGGGTGAGGCAGGAAGATCACTGCGAGTTTGAGACCAGCCTGGGCTACACAGTGAGTTCCAGAGCAGTCTGAACTGCATAGTGAGACCCTGTCTCAAAAACCAAAAAATAAACAAACAAAATCAAGGCCAGCCTGAACTGCAGAGCAAGACCCTGTCTCAAAAAAACCATACACAAACACACACAAAAGAGGAAGATGTAGATCATTCAAAAAGTACCAAAAAGGGTGAGGGATTTAGTTCAGTGGTTCTGCTGTCTTCCTCCCAAGTGCAAGGTCCTGAGTTTGATCCCCGGAAAAAAAAAAAAAAAAAAAGTACCAAAAAGGGGAGGGTTAGAAAGAGAGATGAGTTCTCAGGGTGTGGGACAGTGTCTTACCTAAGACATCTGGAACTTTGGCAGCTACCCTGAGACCTTGGGGAACAATCTAAAGATAGCAGAGCAGAAAGACAGACGAATGTATTTGATGAGTCCTGAATCATCCCTGGAGGTGAGCCCCTACTAGCCTTCTAGCTGGATGAGACCTTAAAAATCTTATGGACCAAGGGTGTGGGAGAGAGAGAGAGAGAGAGAGAGAGAGAGAGAGGGAGGGAGGGAGGGAGAAAGGGAGAAAGAGAGAGAGAGAGAGAGAGAGAGAGAGCTCACCTAGAACCTACAGGCTCTAGGTTTGATCCCCAGCATCTCAATCAAAACAAAAACCAAAACCAGGTTTGGTGGTGCACACCTGTTATCCCAGCACTCAGGAGGCTGAGGCAGGAGGATTGCTGTGAGTTCGAAACCAGCCTGGGCTACATAGTGAGTTCCAGGTCAGTCTCAACTACATAGTGAGACCCTGTCTCAAAAAACCAAAAAAAAAAAAAAAAAACAAAAAACAGATACCCAAAGAGATTACCACCAGCAGTTCTCAGGTGCCTGTACCAAATGTACAGAGGCATGACCTTTGAAATATTAAACCATGGATGTTACAAAGATTACCAGGGTGAAAAGGGAAAAAAATTTTTTTTTTACTATACTCAGTGTTTGTTACCAAAAAAAAAAAACATGTCTCATAGTGAGTTCAAGGTCTGCCTCAACTACATATCGAGAACCTGTTTAAAACAACAACAACAAAGCAAAAGACACATTATACTTGCTGTCTGGTGGAAGGGCCTGCGATGTCACCCATACATTGTTACGGGATTTTATTCTTCCCCACCAAGCAGTAACACAGACAGAAGTTGGCATTATAAACAGTGCCAAGGTCTGGAGTGTGGAGCAGATCAGGGTGAGCCAGCTGGCACCCCAAGCCCTGGTGGGCAGCACAGCAAATCTTCCTGCCACCTGTCAGTGTAAGACTTAAATAAACTAAAGTGACTCCATGTTAATAGGCCAGAGACTGTGCTTCTTCATATGCTAATCGCTAACTTGGCTAACAGCCCGCCCAGGGACAAATGATATGACAAAAGGTGACCATAGAACATTTCCTACATAAGATAAGCAATGTGTTTACAGTCTGGTTCTGTGAATTCCCTGACTTTTTATTTTAAAAGACCTTATAAAAAACACCTCAGCCCCTGAGCAGTTGCCTCTCTGAACTACCTGGCTCCGGGAGTACCATCTGGCCAGACTAATGAAGGTCTATTTATTTACCATCTAGCCTGGTGTGTTCCCTCCCGGGTTTCTCGTTTCTCGTCGAGCTCCCGGACCCTCGCTGGGTGTTAGGACCCAGCATCGCGGAGGCCTTTTCGGCTGTCCACGCTCCATAGAATAAAAGTGAGACTTTAAGTCTTACATCAGCTACTCAGGCTGTAAAACGTCTCCGCACTGCACTCCTTTCCGGGCTGGAGCTGGGCTGGGAGAGGACTGAAGTCAATGTTTGCACAGAGACAAGGTCACAGCAAGGACTCCAGCCCCCGCCTATGCACTGACCAGCGCATACAAGTGGGGGCAGCTGTGCAACCCTTGGGCTCCCTGGGGGCTGGGGCGCCCGGCTGAAGGCGGTTTTCACTCTAGTGACTGCTGCTCAAATCTGTGCGGAAGGTGAGGTCTTTCCCCGAACTGGATTCCCTTCTGGATTTCTGGATCAGAACAGCGACTCGGGCTTTCTGGGAAGGTCCTGGTGGCGGGCAGCCGACTAAGCAAGGAAATGTCCACACTGCCTCTCCACCTCCTGCCTCTTGGACATCCCTGCAGGAGCCGCTGTTCTGGTGCACGGGGAAGCCTCTCCAGACCCTTGGGCAAGTCTTGTCCCCTCTGCACCCTTTATTCCGTCTGTCCTATCTGGGTCTCTGGGGCCTCTTGGAATCTGTGAATACAGTGGGTTCACAGACCGTTTCCAGTATTTCAAATGTCAGAGGAACTGAGTGTGTCAGTGCGACTTCGGCCAACGACCACCTGCCATCTTCGGATACGGTGTGGGTGACCTCGGTTCTGGGCAGAAGGGCGGGATCGCATCCCATGACAGGACCTCAGGGATCAACTAGCTAGGGAAAAGGCTGCCCCAGCTGGGCGGTCCCCGCCCCAGGCTTTCTCACACCCGCGGCGGCACCCGGAACTGCTGACCCAGCGTTTTCGGCCGCTAGGAAGCCAGGCCGAGGCCCCACCCC